AGAGATGGACTCAAAAAAGAAAAGTGAGGGGGGCAACACAACCTTCAGAAGCAAGCTTTTATAAACTTACAACATTTTTTCTGTTAATTAACCAGATTGTGTTAAATATCTTTTATTAGAAGTCTGGTATGAGAGGTATCAGATATTACAAAGCATGTAACAACCTTTCCCATAAGAATGTGTGTTTGTGGCTTGAGATGGACTCTGCAAGGAACAGCAGGATTTTGCCACTGGTAGTTTTCATGGATGGCAACACTTAATAACAAGGCAGTCATTGCTCTGCTGGGCCTAAAGAGAAGAGGAACTCTGACCTCAGGACACAGCATGACATCAGGTCAGCGTTTCTAAGGACTGCAAGAGGAGTGTGAATTTAATAGGGGGTATTGAGTGCCGGTCTTCTGGATTCAGAGCAGTGAAGCTCCTAATTCAAGATCTGTAAGCAGCTTTCACTGCTCATGTTCCTTGAGCTGTGGATAGGGAAGTTTTTAAATCACAGGATGTGAACTTCATTGAGATAATTTTAATGTAGGGAAATAGATTTCAGTATGCTGGTCTGGTTGGTTTTGTTACTTGATAATTAAATGCAGAATGAGATGTAGCAATGGAAGTATGTAGGTTCCTAGTGAGTTTCTTACCTTCTCTGTATATCTTTCCAAATAATACCACTGCTAAGCAAGAAAATGTTGCTTATTTCTCTTTTATATGATCATATTTTTGATTTATGGCTCAACATTGGAGCCATAACTTACTGAAACACATCTAAACCAGACACCATGTAAAACACTTATTTAGTTCCTAAAATGACTGTCATCATATTACAGATCTGTTTTTAGCATGCTGAAATAAGGCAAATGTGTAATTCTCAATGCAACAAGACCATGAGTTAAACCCAGTGCTATAAGAAGAGTGTGAATTTAAGAGGGGAGTATACTTTCAGCTTATGTGGATTCAGAGTGGTCAAAATAGAGCTTTTTTTTTTTTTTTTCTTTTTTTTTTTTTTCTCCCAGAGAGAAATTAACTCCTGCATCAAATAGATCTGTCTTTACTGCTGTGCTTTCAACTGCAATGAAACATGAGATAAAGCATCAGGAATGCATAGGGATGAAGTGTGGGTATTTTTTCTTCTTCTTTTTTTTTTTTTTTTTTTGGTTTGTTTAATCTTTCTTCTCCCACCAGTCTCTGAAAAAGGGGCAGTTTGGATAATGTCAGTAGCTCAGCAGATAAAACCAGCAGCTGAATGGGTCTCTGGGAGGAGCACAGCAGGGAACAGTCTCTGTTTTTTGCACTTCAGGAGGAGGCATTCTCCTAAATTGCAATGCTGGATTTAAATTTTCTATTCCAATTCGGGGACTTCACTACTGTGATTAAAGCAGCCTCTGGTTCCCTTTTCCAAAGCTTTTATGTGAACAGCTGTATTCTCAGATAAGATCTTGTTAGAGGGCAAATTGACATGGGCGTATCGAAGTGTGAAATAACTTCAATGTTTTTGTGATGTTAGAATTATAAAAATAGTGGGAGTGTAAAGTTTTGATAGTAGGAGCAGAGAATGTAAAACATTAATGGTGGACAAAGGAAATGTGTCCTTGGCTGCAGAACTTGTAAGATATGCCTATTAACCAACAGTATTTGGTAGTCAGCAACATTGCTTTTAAATGACAGTGCATTTTCAAACAGGTGATTTCACTTTGGAATGCCCTTCAGAATACTTTTGATGTACTTTCTTCTTCTGGATATCATGGGAGGTTTTATATTTGTTTGTCCTCGCTGTTCTTACGCAGTCAAAATATCTGGTGGCACAGGTGGGCGCAGTGCTCCTCTGCTTTAGTTAGACGAAATAAATGGGAGGCATTACTTTCAGAGCAAGCTATATCTATACATTTTCTTTCTTAATAGTGGTTATTTCTTGATGTTATGCTTTCTGTGAAACCCCTGTACTACACAAGATTTTATATCTACAGAATATAGTCTAATGTAAGCTTTGCCTTATTCATGATTTGCCTTATCTTGGAAGGGAAAAGACATTTCTAAAAGTGTGAGGTCTGGCCAACGCTCAATTTTTTTTGTTGTCATGTATTAAGATAATTTTACATGTCTAAGTTTTTTTGCAAAAATTTTCACTTGAAAATTGGGAGTTGTGGATCTGAGTGCATATATGTGTGCATTAGAAAGAGACAGGGAGGAACTGGAGGAACTTTAAGAACATGTAAGGTCAGGAAGTGCTGTGTGCCCATGCTAAACTTACTATGACACTGAGCCATAGCAAGGTGCTGAGCTGAATTTGTAATGGTGCCAAGCAAACACTGAGGATTGTGTCTTACCAGTCTTCTGCCTGGTAAAATGTGCAGAAATAATTCCCTTTTTTTTTTTTTTCTTCTCTTTTTTTGCAGTAAAGTTGGCCTGTGGCTGAGTGAAGTTTAGATAAATTGCACTGAGATGCAATCTAGATGTGGGGCAATATCTACTTCCCAGTGGGTTCTTTCCCTGAGCCACCTCTGGTGTGTTTGTTGTAAGCTGTAAGGACTTTCAGAAAAGCAGAAGTAGAATTTGAGATGTACTAAGCCTTGTGTTCTCTTCAGCTTCCAGCCCTACTGGGCAACAGCTGTATTCATTCAGAAGGGAAGATGTAGGCACAACTGAAATTCAAGTGTGCCGTGTTTGACCTAAAGCTGATTTCACGAGTATATCAAAAAAGTTTTCAAAATATCAAAAAATTAAAGTGTTTCATGATGCTTATGGGAAAAGATATGCTTGCAGTGTTGGGTCGTTTTATTGCTTGGTTGGTGTACTTCTTCCTGTTTCTTGGAGGTGAAATTAGCTCAGCCTAAAGATGCACTTCCTACTGCAGCTTTCTATTGTCTCAGCTGGAGTCACATCTTCAGTTCTTGTCCCCAGGAACAAACTAAGCGGAATCTCTTATCCCTTCTTAAGGGAGAGAACATCTTGTCTGAAAGGCATAATTTTCAGTATTCTCCTCCCCAAATTTAAGTTCTGGGAGAATATAGACAAAGAGAAACCACGGAAATGTTCATGAGATGGATTTTCTTCAAGATAAATGTCTTAGGCTCTGTTTACACGAATTCTGAAAGTTAAAGGTCACCACATTTTGTCTGCTATGGTATTTTTGGATCAAAGCATGTCAGAGAAATGCTTAAAACAGACACCTAATGCATCTGTCTTTCCTTAAGGAATATAATTCATTGGAAATCCCCAAATGCTTTGGCTGTATCTGAAATTGTTGACCTTTTCAAGACAGTTTCTCTCCAAGTCTCATTCCTCTCATGTTTACGGTATTGGTAAAGAAGGGGAGGAGGGAATATTTTTCGTTTGTCTTGGATAGAAACTTTTCCCTTACTCACCACATAGAAAGAATAGTTTCAATCCAGGGAAAAGGCTTTTGACTGCTGGAGAGATAGGCAATTATTTAAAATAATAATTTGTGTGTCATTTTAGTTAACAGAGCTCTTTCTTGTGAGAGAAGTTATTCATAAGGAGTTCTAAGAGAAGCAATCCATAAGGACCATAGGTTCCTTCCTCATGGGTTTCCTCCCCTGGTTTGTTGCATAGGTATTTGGTTATATTAGATAACATGGTTACAAACATCAGTAAGGCTTTTCTACCAGTCTCTATAAGAACACAGATTTAATCCCAGGAGCCTTGGCTGCTGGTTGGAGCTCAGCAGAGGTGAATTCTGCTGATGAGAGGGGCTGAGGAATTTGCAGCACCTGTAAAACAAAAACAAACAAACAAAAAAAAAACTCAACAAAAAAACCTTACCAAACCTATGGCAATCTGAAGGGACAGTACAAAGACCAAACACAAAGTGGCATTTTCTTTTAGAAGTACACAGGAAGGCAGCCAGTGTGTGAAATGGAGAAAGCCTCCCTGCCCCTTTCTGTTCTGCTTTTGGGGATGATTAACTTTGCATGGAAATGAGGAGGGCTAACTCCTTGAGTTTCAACCTATCTATTATCTCAAGGGATTGTGCCCAGATAGGGGGAGGCTCCTCAGGCAGGGAGCAGCAAGAAAAGCTTCAAAATGTTAGCTGGAGTGTATTAGCTGTGTGGAATCAAGTACCCTGAGTCATTGCAGAGAGAATGGAGGCATCGATTGCAATTTATGGAAGAGTGTGTATTAAAATAGCAGGAGTGAAGCAATGTGGCACACAAGGAACACAGAAGGTGTCAAGTACAGGAAAAAGAGAGTTCTAACATAGTATGGAGAAGTGCTAGGAATCTAAAAGGGAGAGAAGGAGGCTGCAGGAGAGGCAATAAACACGAAGGGAAACCTTTATAACGTAAAGGCCAGTATGAAAAAGAAAAGTTTGGATTTGATAAGATCAGAGAATCAACAAGTGGCTGGGTTTTATGGTTGGAAGGGACCACAAGCCACGGGCAGGGCCACCTCCCTCTGGAACACGTTGCCCAAAGCTCCTTCCAGCCCAGCTTTGAGCTCCTCTGGATATGGGGCATCCACAGCTTTTCTTGATAGCTGTGCCAGTGGCAAAGTCCAACTGAAATAAAATTCTTCAACAGCTCAATTAACTGCAGCTAATCCCACTTCACTGAGGGGGGAAAAACAGAAAGTTCAAAGAGCTTCAAAGGGCTTTTGGGATACAAAACCAAAAAGCACAACACTTTTCATTCCCTGCAGTGTACGCCTGTCCTTTGTAGTAAAAGGCACACGCAGCACAACGCAGGCACCTCTGGTGGGATATTTGTGTCGCGTGCCGATTAGCTCACAAAAGGAGGTCTGCACAGGAAAAAGGGCTGCATGTAAAACAATGGCTCATTGTAACAAGCAGCATAAGGGTTTTTTAGAGCCCGAACAGCGCGCGGATTTCGGACTCTGCTGCTCAGCCACCGCCTCCTGAGACCACGCAGAGCTGCACAGGGGTTGATCACAAACGCGCAGCTTGGTTCTGTGCGTTACAACGCATCCGCCCGCTGCGGGTTGCCGTTCGCGCGCGCTCTTTGCTGCGCGAGCATCCCAGGGCTGGCGGCAATCCAGCGGGGCTGTGAATCGAGCGGGGTCACGTGAGGGAGGGAGGAACCGTGCTGGCCCCCAGCCAGTGGAAGGCCGATGGGTGGAACAAACCGGGCACGAAGAGATAGATATGAGTAACGGATCCTGCGTGCGTGGTACCCGCGTCTGCATCTACAAGAATGTGGGCTCTGGCGGCGGTGCGGCTCCGCCAGCCTTTTGCATGACACTGGAACTGCTGCTTATAAAGTAGAATCCCGCTGCTCTGTGGTAGGAAGGATAGAGAAAGAACATGGCCTGCATTTTGAAGGTAAATCTCTATCTGTTGCTTGAATGCATTGTTAGGGAGCCCCTTGCTGCTCAGAGGCATGGATTCCGTCTGCTCCTATTGCATTCTCGTTGTCTTTTTTTCTGAATACCAATTGTGCTCGGCGGATCGATACAGAGAGACTCCGCACCACACAGCTGTGCTCTGCTTCCCTCTGCCATTCTTCTCCTCTCCCCGCATTGTCAGCGCGCTGCCGGCCGGCAGGAAGGAGCTGTGCGCCAAGCGTAGGGGGTGAGGGGCTCTGGTTTGTCTCAGCTGACTTTGTGGGGCTGAATTCCTTCAGGAGCTGTAGCATTTGGCAGCAGACTCCCACTACAAAGGACAGAACGGGGAAAAAAAGTGGTTTTCTGACTTTCTGACTGCAGCGTTTACTGCTTTTAAAGCTAAGGTTGCAGACGTACACAGCTGCTCCGGTTGCTCCGTAAGCACGCACTCCTCTGCTGAATTCACCCGAGGTCCATATGCTCCACACAACTACATTTAGTATTTAATTGCGTTTGCTATTGATACTATTCAAGGTCTTTCCCCTTCGCACCAACTTACCTTGTGGTCACATGCCTTCCCCAGCTGCTTTCCTCAGATAAGTGTTCAGAGCAGTGTGCCGTGGGGCAGGGAGTGCAGTGCCAGCGCCAGGCGTTGAATGAATGGAGAGGAGGTGGAAGTGTGGCCAGCAAGGAACAAACATGTCTGTTCTTTACGGCACCACTGTCAATTTCAGGCTGTCCCTGGGCTGGGAATGATTTCTTTCCCATTCATTTGCTGTCTGCCTTGCTCCTTCCTGTGTGTTTTGAATACAATCATGCTCTGTTCCTTCTGGTAAATAAAACCTTTCTGAGAGTGCTTTGTTATTTTTCAGTCTGATCTTCTAACAGAGGATTGATTACCTCAGACTTGGGATGGCTGCGTAGCAATTATCTTCAGTGTACCAGCAGGACATGTAATTCCAAACAGTCCCCAAGTAATAAGTATTCCTCCGTCTCACCAAACTCAGCTCTGTCTCACTTTCCTCAGCATTTTTCCATAGCATTCAACTTTAAAAGCAGCTGCTTAATTTCACTGCACTGTTCCCTCCCCCCTCATCCCATTCCTTCCCTAGCAGTGAATTTGTGGTACATGGATGTTCTTACCTTATATTTTTTTCATTCATGTGCATGGAGCTTGTGGCAGCTTTTATTAATAACTATGACAGAGTGCAGAAACTTCCCTGAACCCACAGGTTCTGCTCGGGATGGGTGGTAACCAACTCCAGCAGGCAGCACTGATGCAACTGAGAGTTCAGTCATGGTAGGGGCTGAGCTCAACCAGCAGGGCTGGGCTTCACAAAGACAAGCATATATTTTTTTTTTTCTTTCTTTTTTTAAACACTCTGAATCTGCAAGTGTTCTAAAAGACAAAATTTCTTTATTGTTCTTAACCCAATTAAAAGATCACATCCCAAATCCCCCCTCTGGCCTCAGTAGTCCATAACGATCTCCTGCTACAGGAAAGCTACAGTGTCACCCAGCCCTTTCTGGGCAGCCTGGTGACACAATGTCTCTCAGCTTTCCACAGATGTGACTTCTGCAAGGCCTCTCTTAGAAGGAAGCTATTTAAGTTACAATGCAGTAAGTGCTTTCTCTCTGCTCAGCCCTGGAGTCCTGTTTGGTTGCAGTTCCAGTGGTGCTCCTTGACAGGCAGCCCTCTGTTAGCTTCAATCTTAATCTTGTTAGTACAGGAAGGTGAACGGAGAGAAAGTGAAGCTGATAGATCAGCTTTGCTGTAAGGCAAACTGGACTTTCCTAGGTGGACATCTTGTAGGAGTAATCTAAATTTCTAGATCAAGAATACTTATCAGCATGAGGTTTTTAATGTAATGCCTATACTTTAAGTACATAGGCAGTATAGAGAACTCCTGTCTAGATCTTACAGAAGTGAAAGCAGCTGTTGTCCTGAAGGGACTATGCGTTTTTCTCACTACAAGGGAATTTGGAATAACACATCTTTCAATGTGATAGGGAGCTAATTTCTTTCTGAAACTACAAACCTGTTGGCTGTGTCTACCTTCTTTCTCTTAGGTTTGCCAGATATTCTGGTTTATTTGGTCAGTAACTGGTATGGAAATATACCTATAGCACAGGCTTTTAAAAACATGTATAGAGTTTATGATGGGTGGTGGTGGAGCATATAGGAAGGCAGGACAGCTGCTCCCTGCCACCTATGCTCCAAATACTTCTGTAGTGTTGCCTGGGGCTCTACTTGCTGCAGTTCCCAGATTTCTTTGCTTTATTTTTTTCCCTTTTGCTCTTATCCTGCTTGCGAAGATATTGACACTCATTAAGCACTGGAGTTCTGTATGTGGGAAAGCTTAATATAAATGATGTTTGATGGAGATGCATGTGAAGTACGAAGAAAAGAAGAGGCTATTAACTGGTGTTTACTTACAGTGGTTAAAAACATTTGGAAAAGCATATAGCCTTTAGATGTCAGAGCTCCCCTTTTAATGAGACTAATGCAGGAAATGATCACTGTGCGTAGCTCTTGGGAAGGCAATTTTCCTGTGATGTGTGCTGCTTCTTTCTCTGATCATTGCTTCAGACACTGGTGGGACATCCTCATTGTAAACAGTGAAACTCTTCTGAGGAATTCTCTTTTCTGTTGAGAAAATGCAGAGAAAGAGACAAGTTCTAACACACTGGATTGTATTCTTTCCATGCACACAGACCTCACCCCAGCAGGTATTTAAGAAGAATAGCAGAATCACTGAGTGAAGTGTAGAGATTTCCTGGAAGAAAATGCCTTATCTTGTTTGTTACTATGGCAGCTCCATGCCACATTGCTGATTGCTAGATTAACTGAGTGATTAGTACCATTATCACCATTATCACTGCAGGTGTTGAGTTCCACAACTTCTACTGTATCAGACACTACTATTCAAAACAATATTTCATAACTATTAACATCAAAACTATTCGTATGTGCTGGCCTTGAATATCTCCAGATGATGATACTGTATAATGTTAATATCCTCTGCTGAGAATTGAGCTGTGATATTTTAAGACACGGGTTATCTTAGTTTACAAATGCCATGCTTTGCAGTGGATTATGCCTTCTTATATTCACAAACTTTTGCCTCTTTAAATGGAGGTTTTGAAGGGAATGGTAGTGATGAGTGATGTTGTCACGGTACAACTTAAGCTGCATAGGTTTAACATGGTAGAATTCAACAAGAATGTATGTGTGATGAGCCAGTACTGCGAAAGCTAGGTGTGAAATCCAAAAATAAGTTCATTTCTGTTGTGTGCTGTTTATTCACCATGCAATGAATGAAAAATTATTTAATCTGTGTGTAGGCCGGACGTGACCCTCTACCAGCAGAGATAACAAGTGAGCTGAAATCTTCACTGAAAATGTACACTGTGAATAGTATTATGTCCCTTCCTCAGAAGTGTTCAAGACCAAGCTGGATGTGGGCCGTGGGCTTTGTCGTAGTGAAAGGTGCCTCTATTTGTGGTGGGAGGGAAGTGTTTAATATTTATCTAATTATAAGATTAAAAGAACATTTGCAAAATACAACATATGAGTTTTAACCAAATGCTTGATGTATGCTTATAGCATGTTTGACAGAATGCTGTCATGCATCATGCAAGTCCCTAGCAGTAAGTAGACTTACAGTGACATACAAGGTCTTCCATGGAAGTGATGTACATATCCTACTTCAGTTAGGTCCGAGATAATTCCCATACCTTGATTATTAAACTTCCTACAGCAATGTTTGTGCATGAACCTGTCCATTTTCCCACACTGGAAATTGTGCTTTGCTACTATTTGATGCTTACACTGTCCTCTGTAACTTGTCGAGAGAGAGGTAGGTCCCAGGAAAAGAAAAAGGGTGACCTTCTCTGCTTGTGACAGGATGCCTATCTGATGGGTCAATTCCCAGCATCTTCTACATTTTCTGCAGGTTAACTGTAATGTGAGCTCTCTACGCAGCCTGTTGTATCCTGATGATCAACAGTTCTGTGAGCTATTCCTATTGTGACTGGAATCATTCCTGTGAATATATCATCTTCAGAGATGGAAAGTGTTCTGTGATGCAAAAGATCATTTATTCTGTGCTACCGGTTTCTGCCATCTTTATTCTTCGTGGCTTCCGCAGGATTTTTGTTTCTGTTTTTGGTTATAAAATGCTTGAGGGAGGAACAATGTGGTGTGAGGAAGATGCAAGAAGAGTTGTACCCACTTCAAGTGTCCAGAAAATGTTCAATTCCAAATGTAATTAACAGCAAAACACACACAATTTGCTGTGGGACAGTTGTTTTGAAAAAAAAACTCTTCTAAGAGGAGAAATCAATGCCGTATTAGTGCTCTGTTTTTGTGTGATACATGATTGCTGTGTTTTGGCAATTTTTGCGCTGTTGCAATATGGGTTGTGTGCTGTAATGGTTTTTCCCTTGCTGTGGCTGTTTGTTAGCTTTCAGAGATCTTGCTCAGATGGTGTCATCACTGAGAAACAGAGCCAGGAGCAAGAGTGACCACAGCTAGACTAAGCTGTCTGTCCAGGGCTACCCTGGTGGGCATATATTTGGTACGCAGATCTGCTATGGATGGCCAGATGAAGAAAAGTTAAGTGATGGTGCATGTTCTCCAGTGCATATGTTGCAGGAAGTATATTCAACCTGTGCCTCCTGCACTGCAACCTGTAGGATGCAGTCAACAGGCATTTGGCATCTTCAGTAGCAGGAAAATTTGGTGCAGTTTCCAAGAACAAGTCTGCAAGCAGCCAGCACCAATGCACGGACTTTGGAAGGGCTGCTAGAGAGCCACTGGTGGATTGTGTTTGAAATTAAGCAAGATGTTACTGGAACTATGATAATTGTGTTTTATTTTTTTAAAACGTGCAATGTGTTATCAGACTACATCCCAGAAATCATGATATATTTCTCTATGGACACTGAAGTCCTTAATTTGCACTTTCTTCCGGAACATGCATTGCAATAGCAAGG